AAAATTCTGAGGTAAATCTGTCTGGCCTTTGGGTTTTGTTCTTGGGTAGTTTTTTGATTACCGTTTCAATTTCTTTACTCGTAATTGGTTTGTTTAACTTTTGTGTTTCTTCCTTGGTCAGTCTTGGAAGGTTGTATTTTTCTAGGAAGTTGTCCATTTCTTCTAGGTTTTCTGAATAGACATTTTTCCAAAGAAAAATAGCCAATGAGTACATAAAAAGATAATCAACATCATTAGCCATCAGAGAAATGCATATTAAAACTGCAATGTGATACCACTTCAGACCCATTAGGATAGCTTTGATCAAAAAGACAAATAATAATAAGTGTTGATGAGGATGTGGGGAAATTGGAACCTGCATACACTGCTGATGGGGATGTAAAATGGTGCAGCCAGTTGTGAAGTCTTGCAGCTCCTCAGAAGTTTAAACTTTAAATCACTGTATGACCCAGCAATTCCATTCCTTGATATACACCCAAAGAAATGAAAATGTTTATTCACATACAAACTTGAATATTCACAGCAGCATTATTCTTAATATCCAAAAAGGAGAAGCAATCCAAATGTCCATAAACTGGTGAATACATTAACAAATGGGGATAGCTCTACACACTGGAATACTAGTCAGCCATGAAAGGGAATGAAATACTGATATATGCCACAGCATGCATGAACCTGAAGACATTATGTTAAGTGAAAGAAGCCACAGAAAAGGCTACATATTGAATGATTCCATTTATATGAAATGTGAGAATAGGCAAATCCATAGAGATAGAAAGGAGAGTAGTGGTTGCCAGAGGCTGGAGGAAGGTGGAATGGGGAAGGACTGCTAATGGGTACGGGTTTCTTTTGATGCTGGTGAAAATGTTCTAAAATTGACTGTGGTGATAGTTGCACAGTTCTGCAAATATACTAAAAAACTGTTGAATTGTACACTTTAAATGATTTAATTATATGGCATGTGAATTATATAGTATGAATTTTATCTCAATAAAGCTGTTACCAAAAAATGTTCTAGATTTGGCCAGTGGGTGTCCCTTTGAGCGAGCTGTCATGGCCATTTGACATGCCCAATTCCATATTTTGAGCACTTCCTTTTTCTGGCACAAGATAATCCAGACTTATCTCATACTCTTTCCTCCTCCAGCCTGGGAATCAGCTATATTCCCAGGAGTCCTGCCTCCAGTTCAGGGGGGAATGGGAAACAAACATCTGGACATTTAGTATTTCCTTTAATGACTATGACAACCCTATTAAGTAGGTATTAGCATATCTTCATTTTATACATGAGGCCCAGAGAGGTTAAGTATATTTCCAAGGTCGCACAGCAACCCCACCTTTGAAAGGAGGCAGTGTGAATACAAGGTGAAGCCTGTGCTCCTCACTCATCCCTACACACACACACACACACAGTGTGAAAGTGAAATTTATTCTACCACAACATCACTCTTACTTGCTTTATGATATGCACCTTTGAGTGGAAACCAAAGGATAGCAGTTATAACCAGCCACCTGGGAATTGTGCAAGGCAGGACATACTCTTGGGGAAGGTTACATGTCATGTGTCCGGATGCTCAAATAAAACACACAAAGACTGGTGAAGCACAATCCTCATTAATCTCCTTTGCCAACCTCAGTCCCCACCCCAGTACCCAAATGCCCACAGCTGGGTGACCATTCCTACAGTGAGAATAGCTAAAGGAGGGATGGACACTTACAGAGGAAAGGAGATTGGCCTTGGTTTTTAACTGTTTAAGCTGGGCAGTGGGTACATAGAGGTTCATGTATTCTCTCTCCTTTTGTAAATGTTAAAAACTTTCTGTAATAAAATTTTTTTCTGTGTAAAATGTGTAATAATAAGTAATAAATAAGAGGAAAGGGACTGGAAATGCCAGGTGGGAGCAGTGGGTGAACGAGGCCATTTGGCTGCTCTCTGCAGATTCCTCAGGCTCTGAGAAGACCAGCAGGATGTCTGAGATGCCAAGAACCACAGGCCCCTGACTGCACCTTCTCCCCTCTGAAGATGCCGATGGTGCTACTCTTCTCCTTGGTCAGCTGCCTGCTTGCCATACACCAGGCCAACTTAATCACCCGCTGTGACTTGGCCAAGGTGCTGCACCAGGAAGACCTGGATGGGTTTGAGGGCTACTCTGTGAGTGACTGTGAGTGCCAATTCCTCACACCCACCCACCCGTTTCTCCTCCTCTCCCGGTTATGCCCTATGTAGCTATTTTTCTTTCTCTCTCATTCATCTTTAAAAGCCAAGTTCAAAAAGTCACTCTCTCCAAGAAGCCTTTCCCAACATTCCATATTCATTCAATAGTTATCAACTATGCACTTATTTAATGTACCACTAACTATTTCAGGCACTGGGAATACAGACATCAACAAAGCCCCTTCCCTTCTAGTGTTCATGTTCTAGAGGAAGAGACAAGCAATAAAAAACACATAATTGTGGGAAGTACTTCCTGCTGGTGATAAATGCAATGCAGAAGAATAAAGCAGGGGTGATAGGTGACACCATTCTAGAGGAAGAAGTCAAGGAAGGCCTCTCTGAGGAGGTGACATTGAGCTGCATGACATTGAGGGCTGCATAAAGTAAAAGACCTGGTCCCCGTTCAGGGAAGAGCATTCCAGGCAGAGGAAACAGCTGGTACAGACGCTGTGTTCTACTCCATGATAGGGATGACTCCCTTTTGCCCAGAATTGGTGCACACCTATCTCACAACACTTTCTCCTGTTACCTTGCTTTGTGCTTTTTTTAGGTACATATCTTCATTCTTGTTCTGTAGGCCCCTTGAAGGCAGCATTTGCAGTTGATCCAGTTAAATGCCCCTTACTGGGCTTTGCACAGTTCCTGGCACACAGTAGGTGATCATTAAGTGCAGGGGTGGGGGTGAATGGACCAAAGGATGAGAGGAGATGCTAGTGGGTGTTTCTAGCCCTCTAGTCCCATCTAGCCTGTTAGGCCTTACTCCTTTCTTCTGATTCTTCATCTTGCCTTCAACTCCATTTTCCTTCTGCCTCAGCTTGGCCCCCTCTAAAAACTCTTCTCCCTGTTTTAAGGGCTGTGCCTAGCTTTTGTGGAAAGTAACTTCAACATATCAAAGGTATATGAAAATACGGATGGCAGCTTTGACTATGGCATCTTCCAGATCAACAGCCACTACTGGTGCAACGATAACCGAAGTCACTCGGAAAACATTTGCCACATGGAATGCCAAGGTCGGGTCAGAGCCCCAGGGTGGGAGAGGCGAGAGAGATGACCAGGCTTTACTCACAGGACTTCTCTCCCCACTCAAAGCCTGGGAATATCCCCAGGGGGATTGACTCAAGGAATCCCAGGATTCCCTTTGCTGAGCAGAGAGTTTGACTGCTGGTCCTAATACACAACCAGTTAGGAGACTGCGCAGAGCTCGAGCAGCCTCCAGAGGGCGCTGCACAGTCAGGAGTAATGGAGCAGCTGCAGAAGCAGCCAGCACTTACTGAGAATGTATTATATACTCAGCACTTCCCATGCACAGTTCATTTCATCCAACTTTCCATGCAATAGAAACTATTATGATCCCCACTTTTACAGATGAGCAAGCTGAGGCTCATAGAACCAGTGCTGTATGCCAGGCTGGTGGCCCTGAAGGCTCAGCTCTAACCACTAAGTACCACTGTCTTTGGCTCCTGGTCTGACCCAAGGCCAAGGGCAAACTCCTAGCCTCAGAGCTGAGCCAGAGGGCCTCACAGGTTCGTGACTGTCTCTGACCTCTTCCTTCATACTCTGATTAATGTCCCTGGGCTTTTCACCTGAAGAGCCTTCTCTAGTTAGGCAGGACTTTACCCCAGTCCTTGTGCTGCCTGCTTAGGCATTTCCTTTGCTTAGCAATCCCCAAACTCGAGGCAAACCACCATCTACTCTGACCAGGAAGGACGGTGGCAAAAAGGCCCAAATCTTAGTCCTGCTCCTCCCCCCAGCCACTCCTGACCTTCAGCAGCCAGTCAGAGAAGTCTAAATGGGCCTCTGGGGAGGGTCTTGCCTAATCTGGAAGGTCTCAGCCCCTGGGTGGGGTGTGACACCTGGGAACCCCAGTTTCTGACTCAGTCCTGAGGCCCTGCCTGTCTTCTGTGATCTCAAGGTGTTCTCTTTCTCTCTTCCAGAACTGATGAGCCCCAATCTCCTCTCGACCATCAACTGTGCAAAAAAGATTGTGTCTGGAGCAGGGGGGATGAACAACTGGTGAGGAGGACCCTGTGGGCCTAAGTTAGCAGGCAGAGCCCCAAGAAGCATGTGACAGAGAAAGGGACAGTAGTAGGCAAGAACTAGACCCTTTCTACAGTCCAGAAAAAGGTGGGAGAGTGGCAGTACTTAGAACTCTGATTTAGAAGACCTGGGATCTGGTCTTTCTCTGCTATCGTATTAAATAAAACTCTCCTGGTTGTAGTAACAAAACAACCTGAGTTAGCTGAAGATTTATTCTGAGAGGGCATGGCATCTGACTGAGCCCTCAAAAGGGGTGCAGCTGGGCCTCAGGAAGAGATGGAAGCAGAGTTGGAAACTGCCAGCATCCTTTAGCTGGCAGGTTTCTGCTTCTCTTGGTGCATTTGCTTCACTGCTCCCTCTGCACATCAGTTTTCTTTGCTCCACATTCTGCAAGACACACTTTGGCTGCCTCAAGTTTATAGGCTAACATCCTAAGCGACCATAGAGACTGGCTAGGCTCAGTCCTGGTCCAAGTGCCTGGGATAGAGAAACTGATTGGCTCAGTCCCTGTTTGGACCTGCAGTTCCTGTTTGGTTCAGTCAGTTGTAGGCATGGGAGCAACTAAGCCATACAATCATAGCTGCCATGCAGACACCATCTCCATAATTGGCAGCAACATTTTCTTTAAAAAGTGTGTTGCTCATCAGTTAGGCAGACACCCCAAAAACTGCCAGCTTACCAGTGGATAGTTACTTAACTTTTATGAGCTTCAAACTGAATATATAAATAATATAAGTGGCAGCCTTTATAGGCAACTGTGAGGATGGAAGGAATAAAGTGCTTTACATACTATAAAAACAACACAAAAGAAAGGACATTGATCACTACAAGGGCTGAGCTTTTTCTGACAGTCAATGGTTGTACCTGGGAATTCTTTTTTTTTT